GAAGGCCTGGGAAAGTGTAGGGGGACGCGCCACCAGCCCCACAAAAACCAGGCAGGAAAGTAGCCACCACACACAGATACACACAGAAAGAAACAGGCAGGAAAGGGCCAGCCAAGCAGGAAAGCAGCCACAACATTCAAAACCAGGCAGTGAACATTATTCAGGGGGGTTGGCCTCTGGAGGAGGGGTCGATTAATTTAGTTGGCAAGTTGGCAAGCATCGGCCTGGGAAAGTGTAGGGGATGCAAGAAATTGATTCAGGCACAGGCACAGGTTGGCCCCTGGAGGGGTTTGATTATTGAGTACACCTCAAAGACGCCTGTATTTACGCAGCTCTTACAGCATTGCACAAAACTTGAGGCCAGGGGGAGTCGGCAAAGCATGTAGTAGTGATTACAGGTTTTGGGAGGAAGGTTGCTATGTACATACTTTGCGCTAAAGAATGTAAATGTGACATCAATGACTGGGAAGGGTACATTGGAACAACCCGGGTGCGCTCGTTGGCAGGCACGAAGATGCGTGATCGGCAAATCGGGCAGGTAAATTTACCCCCCGCTTATGTATGCCTTGAGCCGGAACGAGGGGTAAGCATCACAAGGACTGTGCATACACTAGGGCGTCCGTAGTGTAGGATAAGCACTGGCAACAGGTATCAGCAATAGAGTGTCTTGAGGAAATAGCCGGTGTATGGTTATAGCAAGCCTGGGGGGTAAATTTACCACCCGCTTATGCATGCATTAGGTTAGAAATAGGGGTAAGGTGAAGTACAAGTCCTATGCAGCAAGCAGCAGCCAGCAGCAGCAGCAGCAGCAGCAGCAGCCGCCTGCAGCCAGCAGCCAGCAGCAACCGCCAACCAGCAGCCAGCCAGCAGCACCACGCAGCAGCAGCGCCGCACCAAGCCGCAGCAGCAGCAGCACCACCGGCAGCAAGCAGCAAGCAGCAAGCAGCAGCAGCAAGCAGCAAGCAGCAGCGGCGTCGTCAGCAACAGCAGCAGCAGCACCAAGCCGCAACAAGCGCAACAAGTAGCAAAGCAGCAGCTACAAAAGCGGCAACCAGCGGCAGCAGCAAACAGCAGCAGCAAGCAGAAGAGCGGCAGCAGCAGCACCGTTTACACCAAGCCACCGTTTACACCCAACCAACCACGTTCACACGTTCAACCAACCCCTGCTACACGGCGCAGCTGGGAGTCGAACCGTGGGGGGGGGGGTGGTTAGCGTGATATATCAAGCTTTAAGGCACACAGCTCATCCCACTACCAATTGCTAAAGCAAAGAAGAACTCAGCTAGCATGCTAGCTTTCGTGTCTGCCGCAAAAATCCTGCACTTGTCTGAAAGCCTGCGTCCAGCCACTTTGCCAAGAAATCTGTGCTTGCGAGCTGCACCTGCCACGTTCTCCAGAACCCATACGGTGGGGGCTGGTGGGGTGGTCCATTCCAAAGTCAAAAAGAAAGGTAAGGAATGGAATGAACCTAGCCACCAATCCTGGGACCTTAAGATTTTGGGTTCAATCCTATGGGCCCAATGGGGGGTCAAGTGCCCATCTCACAAAGTCTGTCATTGGGACTGAGGCGTTGCCACCCAAACCTTGGAGGCGCCTAGGCCTCCTACATTACACTCACAAAGAAAACCGGTCATTTCCGTGCACATGGTACCACCCCGGAACCCTTACACTCCAAACGCGCGCGCACACACAACATATGCTGTTGAGATTCAGGCACCAAAAAGGGCATGGACCGCTTTATACAAATGAGGACATGAAGTAAAACCAGCGCGCATGCTTCGGGACTCCTTTTGGCTGAATGGAATGAAACAGATTGCAACCATTGCGTCATCGCTCCAGAAGTTTCGATATCCAGCCACTTACAGGAAACCGGTGAACAGGTCCTCATCTTTGGCAGCCTCCTGTCACTTGGAGACAAAGGGTGCGCCTCACCCTTTTGGATAATCCTGGTCAAAACCCGGGATTCTACCACATCCGGCTGACCTTCATGAGTCTGAAAAGGATGCTGAAAAAAGTCCGGATCTCATTGAGCTCATGGAGGGGATGCTTTGCCACGGCGCAGCCAGATGTTCCACCTGGGCCATTAAGGTTGCCTTGTTTTTTGCAAATCTGACCACTTTGGCATTGAACACAGCCTTTGTTCTGTTGAGCAACGCACACTGGAGTTGCTCCTTCAGAACTCCACGCGTGCATTGTAGGCTCAAGGATTGAGAATGGAAAGCAGATGACGGTGTCGGGATACGTTCCAATCCCCACCCAAAATAGCAGGATGGCGGGAGTTGTCCAAAAGTGACAGAAACTTGGCGTTGGCCTTGCCTTCCTGTATCCAATGAGAGGGCATGGCAAGCTTGGCATTGGCGCACAAGCAAAAAACTGGGCGGCCGTGGAATGGCCACTAGGGACAATTGAATCGTGACTCGCTGAGATTCGCAATGGCTGCTGGTCATTGAGCAAACGAGCTCAAGCATTGGCCAACGTCCCTTTACTTTTGCGGTGGCATGGTGGAACCGCAGCATGATTGAGTCGATGAAGCACGCCTCCCTTTACTATAGCCTCTCTAGTGCAACCTGAAGCACAAATTGGTCCGGCCGGGCACTGTCTCAGCTCAAGACCACATTGCCATGTGTCCAGGTGAGGCTTGTCTAGCTTTGCGCAAAGCCGTAGACGCAACTTGTCAAGGTCAGGTGATCGGTCTCTCGTGCTTCTCCTTCGTGGGTATAGCGCGCGGATGAGACTTGGCGCCAACTGCTAGGGCAAAATGTAGCGGGGGCCATAGTCAAGAATTTCTTCCGGTGGCACGATAGCCATGACATGATCAGCAGTACGGAATGATGGGTGTCTTGATAACCCAAATCTTGGCAAGTTGCATCTGCATAGCTCAGCGAGATGGGGGATGGGCGCATGAATGAATGAATGAATGAATGAATCAATCAATGAATGAATGAATGGAATGAATGGAATGAGTGGAATGAGTGGAATGAGTGGAATGAATGGTCTGAATGGATGAACGAATGAATGAATGAATGAAGGAACGAACGAACGAATGAGCGAAGGAAGGAAGGAAGGAAGGAATGAATGAGCGAAGGAATGAATGACTGGCTGAGTGACTGAATGCATGAATTGTAGAGTGAATGATTGAATGAATGGTTGAACCAAGAATGAAAACAAAAGGACGTTTTCTGCGCTTGTTCGTTCAATGCGGGCGCCACTTTGACTCTGACCTGAGCCTGACGTAAACCCAGTGGGGAGGAGACTAGAAAAACTCATCGGGTGGCACTTCGACTGACCCTTTCGCATCGCCTCCAAATCACATCTTGGCAACGCCTTTTCTGCTAGGCAGCCAGCAAGCCATGCTCCCTGGCAGAACATGCAAAAACTTGCGCACTGCCATGGACAAAGAAGTGTGAGATAGATAGAGTTCAATTGAGTATTTTGCTTCGAACGGCCCCCGCCCTGAGAGACAAATTGGAAGAAGGCACGGCGTGTATATTGATAGACATCGGTAGGCTATCCTGACGCATGATGCCTGACACGTGCAACGGGCACAATGTTCTGCCATGTGTTCTGGCAAGTCCGGTATGTCTATTGGTACTAATCTAGCATAAAGGCTGGGGATGTGGCCTGACATTGTGTCTGGCGTGCGTTTTGGCATTTGTCGCGCCGTCGCGTCTGACAAGTGGTCTGACATCTCTTGCGGCGTGCTCCTCTGACGTTCTAGCTCTGACACTTTTTCCGGCCCTTCTTCTGCCATCGCAGCTGGCTGGCATAATTATGTTCCGACGTGTGTTCTGACATATGTTCCGACATTCAATTTGTTGATATGTGGCCTGACATGCGTCTTGTCACCTACAGTACTCGGACGTTTTTCTGGCATTGCTATATGTGTTCTGGGGTGCGTCTGGCATGGTCTGGAATTCATTATGATTCTGGCATTCTACCTGGCATCTATGCTGTCATTTTCCAGGCGCTGAAAGTGGCATCTTTTTGCAGTCTCCCTGGCATTCTATCCAGCATCTATTTTGGCATTCTACCTGGCGTCTGTTCGGGGATCCAGTGCTCGCCCTCACCCGGCAGGCGGGAACAAACTCAATATTCTGAAGGCTACCAGGCTACCACTGGCGAAGCAGCATGTCCAAATATGGGCAACGAGTTCTTCCCCAAATAGCGAGAGGTATTAGGGTTCTTACTCCAAGTATAGGAAGAGGTGCCTGTGCGCGCTTTGGAGCATTGGGTGTTGGCGCCGCTGCAGGGCGCCGCAGCCAAATGTGTGGCTGTGTGCGCTTTAGAGCCTGGGCGCTGGCGCCGCTGCAGGGTGCAGCCAGACGTGTGGCTGTGTGGCTGCGCATGCTTTGGAGCTTGGGCGCTGGTGACGCTGTGTGGCCGTGTTCACTTTGGAGCTTGGATGGTGGCGCCGCTGCAGGGTGTTGCTGCCGTGTGCGCTTGTTTTTCGCATTGTATAAGCATTCTTTGGGTCCATATGATGTTTTCAAGAGCGTTGTGATACGCAAGTGAAAAAGACTTGAACGCAATGATTCCAATGCTATCTGGGGTCTAGGCTGGCGAGGTCCGGTTGACGTCTGATTCGGTAACCAAACGGTCTGATTCGGTGACTATGATTCGGGAACCAAAGCCGCTGATTCGGTAACCAAAGCCCACTGATGCGGTAACCAAAACCGCTAATTCGGCAACCAAAACCGTTGATTTGGTAACCAAAACCACGGACTCGGTAACCAAAACCATGAAACCAAACAGTGTTACATTTCCAAAAGAAGAAACTGATGATCCGGGGTGAAAGTGGTAGTAATATGTAGTAATAGTGGCAGTGGGAGTGGGAGTGGTAGTAGTAGTAGTAGTAGCAGTAGGAGTGGTAGTAGTAGTAGTAGTAGTAGCAGTAGGAGTGGTAGTAGTAGTAGTAGTAGCAGCAGCAGCAGCATTTCATCACAAGACAACCAAGACTGTGCGCCTGTCTCTCTCTTGGTGGTCACAAGCACACAGACCAACAAAAGCTTTTGGTTGACTAGCATGGCAGAATACTCAACAAGTTCGTCTTCATCATTCAAACCTACAAATGCTCGTGAAAATGTCGTCGCTTTTAGGGGCAGCGTACTACACTCCGCTGTAAATACAACGATCAGGAAACTACGATGCAGAAACCAACCGATTGGTTCCAACCATATGCTGTAAATACCGAGATATTCTTAAACCCTTTGCAACCACCTGGAACGTTATCTTGGCCATCACTCTATTCAGCCATCTGCTATATATACAAAGATATTCTTACTTGAATGAGTGTAAGAGCCCTTTGCAACCACATCGAACGTTACTATCTTGGCCATGGTTCCCCCCCACCCCCCCACACGCTCCTCCTGCCATCCACTCGATCCAGCCATAGCTATAAATACAAACATTTCTGACTTGAATGAATGTAAGAACCCTTTGCACCCACATGGAACGTTATCGGCTGTTTTGGTTTCTGAATCGGCTGTTTGGGTTTCTGAATCGTAGTTGCTGAATCGCCTGGTTTGGTTTCTGAATCATAGTTTCTGAATCGGCTATTTTAGTCTCTGAATCGTAGTTTCCTGATCGGTTGGTTTCTGAATCGGCAAATGTCCTGGCGTGATTAATAGGTGTATTCTGGGGACTTAGAAATATTGCCCTGATTGAAACGTTTGACCCTTACACCCGTCCAACAATGAAGAGAATTCTTTCACCTTGATTTCTCCAAACTTGAAATCATCCCTTCCTGTCACAACCTTAAGTTCTACAACTTCACCAGGGGAGACCTGTGTTTCTTAAGACACCGACTCAAGAGGTGATGCGCTAATTTAATACTCAGAATGCAAGTAGTGCTGGTATGAACACTTAGCACCAGCAGCATCACATATGTACAGTAATACTAGCTTGAAAACAAGGTGTTTAGACAGAAATCTCACGGCATCTACTTCCAAGCATGCTCCACAATACAAACCATATGACACGAAATTTGTCTCTCGCAGGATTCCAGGCATGCATTCAAACACTTTTGCGAGTCTCTCGCTGAAAGCCCCCCACCGAAGTACACCGAAGGTTTGTTTTTGCCAATGGTGGGCCTCGTCCATTAAACACACTGCTCAAAATTAATTTGGAGCTGGCATCGTCTTGAACTCAGTCACCCCACAGCATATCTATCCAAAGCCATCAATTGAAAACCGTTTCCCAGTGCTCTGTCCCGAAGCAGCTTCGGAGATCCGATCGTGTCACGCCTTCGCCACTTGTCCGAAGGCCATTGCGATTCGCCAATGATCCTAAGCACGTCTTTTCCGCGAAAGGTAGCTTTGCACGCATACACCGCCATTTAAGCTATGCTTTATTATGCATTATGTTCTTCTTTTCATGAGCCCATGGCTTCAAGTGGCCGGCAGAGAAGTTCACCAGGTGCGATGACAGCACTCTCCCAGTCAATAACAGCATCTAGCCGCCATGAATTGGATACCTCAGTCAGCCACCTGGTTCCTTGTCTCTTCCCCGTGTTATTTTCTTCAAGAACAACAAAGCAAGTCAATTGCTGTGTCAGAAAACAGTTGGTTATGCATACCTCAGGCAGTTCCAGTATCAACGTAGTCTTGCCGTATCATCCCTGTTCTATGCTTGTCTGAAAAACGAATTGACGCGGTGCCTTGTCGACTTCTGAAGTCAAAAGATTGCCACAGTTGATATCTTGGTGTAGCAAAGCCAGAGGTTCCGACTTTTTCCGTGGCAGTCCTTGAACAGCACTTTCTGGACATTGAAACAATTCAGTTTGCAATGTTCCAGCCTTGAACAAAATTGTCAATCTCCTGCAAGCGTGCCAGCAAGTAAACAAGAAATGTATAGAAATTGAATATCGAATAGAAAGTAGCAAATCATCTACAAATAATGGCCTCACGGATGGAAATGAGAGATGTGGGCACCAAGTTTCTGAAATACATCAGGTATTGGTGAAGGCTTTCGAAAGACTGCCTGAATTGGGACACACTTCACGGAGATTCATTTATGCAAGCTTTGTTGGCGCAGTGTTTTCAAGGGCACCCATTTTGCCAAGCAACATGGGTGTCGCATCTTCACCAAGCCCGAAGGCCTGCAACTTTCCGACGACCTCCCTTTCGATGCGGTTCCATTCTCTGGCCGGGGCCTTCACCACGTCCTGTGCAGCGCGGTAACTAGGAGAGCCAAAGCACTACGCCAAAATACGTCAACAACTGCTAGACCAATCTGACACAAGGAAAACAAAATGAACACATGCACATAGAAATTGTCAGCCTAGCACTTCCGACTGCAGTCCTCCACAGTCTGGGTTGAAATATATTCTTGCACAATGAACTCCAGTGGGCCAATGTATGTGTCACAGCTCCCGGTAAAAAGGACGTCAGGCACGCGGACTCCTAGACTGGGGCGTCTTGGCGTCGGTCATGCGTGCAAGCTTGAGTAGCTCACTACAACAAATCCAGATCAAGCAGCCGCCTTGAAGTTTCAATACGTTCGGGCCGGTCTACAGAAACTTGAGCGGGGAAACACGAAAGGTAGAGACGGACCGGGTAGCTGTCCGTACCTTTTCTGGTGAGGGACTGTCTCCAACGTTCCCCTTGGTCAGTCATGGATGAAGCCAACAAAGCCAAAGAGCACAAGAAGGCTCAAGAGGAGCACCGTTGCGATCAGATTGCGCCACCCGGCTCTGCAGAGAGGCTGCGTTGCGTCGACGCTCGTTTGTGTAAAGGTGTGTGAAAACAGGCGCGCGTAAAAGTTGCAGTGCGTAAACGCTCGCATGTTAACCAGCGATGGTCCCACAGCTACACGCACTGTGTCAGGATTACAGGCCTACACGCGTTGCGTCGAAGCTGCCGGTACTGCCAGGGATGGACGTCACGCTGTGGTGGGTAGCTGATGGGAAGGGTGCGTAAATGGCTGTGTAGTGGTGCTCCACAATGCGGTAAGATGTCGCCGCGCGAGGGTATCGGGCTGAGTCGAATGGTGCTCCGCGAAGCGAGAGGTTTCTCCACAGGGCTTTGCAGAGAGGCTGTGTTGCATCGATGCTGGTTGGTGTTGAGCAATATGGTCTGTGAACGCAGTACGCGCTATGTCAGGCTGCCGGGCGCGCACGCGCAGCATCGAAGCCGCATTGCGCAACCTCATTGTGTGGGGTTCGTGCTGTATTGCGCAACCTCATGGCCAGCGTCGTACTGCTGTGACTGCTAAGCGCATGACTTCACCTTATGGTGTGATGGTGTGTCCAGCATGCTAGTAGTGCTGGCGAGGGGAGGGGACGGGGAGGGGAGTGGAGGGGGGGGGGGGGGGGCAAAACAATTGTTTTACCCATGAATCATCACATGGGAGGGGGAGGGTGGGGGTGTTAGACATTGATCTACCAATCTTTAGTCCCGAGCAGGCTCTCAAGCCAGTCCCTTTGCTTCGCAAAGCAAACTCAAGGTAGTCCTTACCAGGCTACCTTTCGTGATAATGCAAATTTTAAGGTTTTGTCCATGCCTGTTGGCAAACAATGTTCAGCTGACCTGAATTGCTTGGTTCCTTTGCTACCCGCCCAAGAAGATCAGGGTAGTTAAACAACCTGTGTAATCCCCAACTTTGATCTCCCCACCAATCCCACCCTCTGTCTCACTGGAGTCTCCCAGCGTCCTGAACAACAGTAACAGCAACAACGCCAAGCACAACCTCAACAAAGGACAAATCATGGTATATACAAAGGAACACCCACATTTCAATGCAGCTTATCACACAACCTCAATGCCAAAAGAAACATAGAGGAATTGGCCACCGGCCACTGAAGCAGCACGCATACCAACCCATGACGCTGACACAGAGAGGACATGAGAGGACAATTCAGCATCATCAGCAAAACCATGCAACAACTATGACAGCACAGCAGCAAACAACGTAGCGACGACGACAATGACATTGACAGTAACGGAAAACAAGTGCCAGCATTACGAGACTGTCAATGACAACAACATCAACATATCAAAATGGTTCCAGCAAAACTAACCCAAGTGATGGAAACAATGTGAGTAGTTGAACCATGTTGAAAAACTATGTCACTGCATGCTGGTGGTTCCTACGTTCTGTCTCTCTGTCCGTTCGTTGGTGTCAACATCTTATGTTTTTGGGATGTCTTGGGAGCTGCTAGTGCAATTTATATAAGTCAGGGACAGCTATACAGTACCAAACATATCTCAGCCGAACTGTCTCTTCTCCTGCTCGACGAGCTATGTCCATTGCCTTCACAATCTGCTTGCAGGAAATGTGCACACTCAATGGTTGATCACCAACCTGCAAAGCGAATGAGCAAAGAGCGACGGCCCAAATGGCAAAGAACTTGGAGCGGGATCGATGCCTGAGACCCGAGGATTTGTACAATGACTCGGTCGTAGGACTTGCCATCCTGCAATTGAAGCATCTTCTCTTCGATTTGTTTATGCGATGCGTGCTTAAGGTAATAAATACAATAGAAATATTATATAGAAATTGATGGATGTTTAAAGCGACAAGTAGACATTTGCATGTTCGGTCCTGAATCAATGGAGAAATCTCTACCAGCCAGGTTGAGTGGAAGCTACTTTTCAGCCGTTTAGAGGACGTCATCACACTCCCTTGCCGGAAACACAATGTCACTGCCGTATGGAACACCGGGTGCTTCGAGGCTCTTCGAGGAGCACCTTTACTGTCTTCCGCGCATACACACACAACAGTAGTCGCATGTGTAGAATCACACCAAAAACAAAGAAACTACCCCCTTGAGAAGGACAACTCCAAATCTGATTCCATAAACTACTAAACGAAGCTACCTGTTGCTCTTCCAAAGAACATATATAACAGTAAAAAAACCTCGGTGAAGCTTTGGTGTGTGATCTTCCTTCTCATCCGTTTGTGGTTTTCTCGTCAATCAGTTCACTCCACCAAATGTCTGTTTAACTAAAAACTCCAAGTTTCACAAGAAGCAAAAGTAGCTCGTGGACATTTTGAGGAACAAACACACCTCGCCGTTCGAATTTTCTTTCCTCAAGAGAGAACCCCAAAACAATAAAATGTTTGGGGATAAAGCATAATCTGTATACATATATATATATGCATGTATTGTAATATGTTTGTATATGTAACTTATATTACTATGACTATATGTAACATTTAAGGCTTCTACAAACTCAAGTCCGTTTAATCACCGCCTCGCTGAGAAAATTCGACGATAATCTCCACTGGTAGCTCGTGGATGCATTTTTCCAGGATGTGGTCTATCCTAAAGGGCAGTTTACAGCAGAGCTGACTTCAAACAACATGTATTATCATGTATTATACACAGGTATGCATTGCGAGGGTTGCAAAGGGGCTGCGCAAATGTTCGGAGTTGAATGTCCTGGCATGTTCAGGTGCAGAACGGCACAGGGCCTTGCTTTCTGCATCAAGTTTCCGCTCACCTGGCCAAAAATGAACAAAGTGAAACAATGTGCCTTAGACACCTTTCCATTGACACAACAATTACCTATTGAATATCACTTACTGGCAGTGATGATCTTCTTTGCTTGCTTCTCTGCGTTCCTTCTCTTTCCTGCTTCATTTGCTTTCTCTTTGCTTTCTTGCATTGCCTGCTTTACATTTCTTTCAAAACACGACTCAGCCCAAGGTGACCGAGGTGATGCCCCGAAGCCACAAAATCCGCCAGAGAGCTGAAAACACAGAATCTCCGGAAAAAAAATAAAACTACGGTCAACAGTAAGGGTAGCGCCGCACAGAGGATTTTGCACTGTGAACAGGGCTGCAGCATATTGCAAGCGAGGCCAATATGAGCGAAACAGAAGGTGATCTTATAAGGGACTGTGAAAAACTACATTCGCTTTTGGAAAGGTCTCTTGAACAGAAAAATTGTTGTGTGCAGCACAAGACGCATGCCTTTTACTGCCAGAAGAACGGGGAGGGCCAAAAATTGTCATTTCTGAACTGAGGGACCTCCTCTACTTGCGAGTAGTCTGAATCAAGAGCCCATCGAATTGCTTCACTTTCAACCATACTACCTTGCTACTTGTGTCCTTCTCAAGTGTATTCTTAGGATTTAGCTTTGGACTGCTTAGTTTTGCCGGACAAGGTTCTCAGACCTGTGAAGATTCTTGACCAAAAATATCCTAGCTTCATGTTCTACCAGCAAAGCAGAAAGTATTGTTTTCGGATTTGTTTGGTAACAAGTAACAAGATTCAAAATACATGTTTTTCCTAAGGGTTGCCTTGCGAAACTGCAAGCCATGTTGTTCTAGGTTGCTGCACATGTTCTTTCACTCAAAAGTTTGCCTACGCTGCAGTCCTGATATAGATTTATATTCGATGAACCTCAATCAACATATGTCAGCTGCTGCTACCTTTTTCTGCGAATCGATTCAGGTCTGTACTGTCTGTACTGAAGTGCTTTGGTTTGAAATGCGACCCGCGTCGCTTGTGTCATCTGACATCTGAC